GAAGAAGAAGAAGAAGAAGAAGAAGAAGAAGAAGAAGAAGAAGAAGAAGAAGATGATGAAGAAGAAGAAGAAGAAGAAGAACAAGAAGAAGAAGAAGATGAAGAAGAAGAAGAAGAAGAACAAGAGGAGGAAGATAAGATAAGATAAGATGAGATACATCTTTATTTTCCAGATCCTGGCACATTGGTTTGGTGTTTCATTTACACTTACACCCCCCCTCCCCTCCCCCCCCCCCCAACACACACGCACAAACGCGCACACATGCCCACACACGTAGGCTTACAATCACATGCATAATATAAATGAGCAGCAAAATATACAATAATAATCGTAGAAGAAAAAGATGAAGACGAAGAAGAAGAAAAAGAAGGAGAAGAAGGAGTAGCAGGAGGAGGAGGAGGAAGAGAAGGGGAAGGAGAGTAATAATAATAACTTGATCAAGAAACGAAAAATCTACCAGTACACCAACAACAAGAAAAAAAATGTGAACAGAAGAAGAACAATAAAAAGAACAGAATAAAATCAAGAACGAGAACACGAAGAGAACAAGGAAACGAACAAAAATATACATATATATATATAAAACATCGACAAGAGCAAGTCGAGAACAACAACGAGAAAAACAACGAAAGCAAGATCAAGAACAAGAACAAGAAAAAGAACACAAGAGAAACAATGGGAGTACAAGAAGAAGAAGTAGAAAACGTTTGGTTTTTGTGAATATTTACATAAAATAATACAAATCATATTATTTCAACGCTTTACAGTACTACAATAATATAACTTAGTATTACCAGGTCAATATTGAGATCGATCTCATAGTTCTTGGATACAGCTGTTTCGAATTCTATAGAGCAAACCTGCCAACAATATAGGAAAAAAACAATTGTTAAAATTATTCTAAATATTTGTTGTTAAAGGAAGTGGAATTTATAAAATCGTTGCGAAATCATTATTGATAAGAAAAAAAGCAACGATAACGCCTGTGGAGTAATGGTGAGGTGTTTCATTTTGCAGCCAAAAGACACAAGTTTGATTCGTCAACGCATGGGGTGAAGCGATTGTAGGCTTCGACGTAACTCGCAGAAGACGCGAGTTTGATTCCCGCTTGGGGAGTTTTATTTAAATATACATTAAATGTATCTATCTTTCTATAGATAGATAGATAGATAGATAGATAGATAGATAGATAGATAGATAGATAGATATATAGATAGATAGATAGCCTATATAAATTTAGATCGAGTATATCCGTCTGTCTGCTTGGGTGTTATGTTCCACTCAGCCCGGGTTGGCTCTGACAGGTAAGGTCGAAGCAGTCCGCCTTAAGTAGTGTCGATGGGGGTGTAAAACACCTACAATTACGTTACTTTCAAGGTGAGTTCGATCCACACATGAAACGCATATTAAATGTACATTTGTTGTCTCAGTCTTCATACTCAGGTTGGCCCTACAGAGTCAGATCACTTTGTTTTACTGTTGCAGCTTATAAGAACATGCTTTCTATCTTGTTCAGTTGACAATACATGTATCTTATTGTGCTGGGTGACGATGCAGCTGAGCCTGGTTTGAATTCTTTGTGGGATGCTCTGGAACAACCATGGGCAAATTACGGCCCGTGGTCTATTTTGGTCCGGCCTGACAGTCGACAGAGTATAAAGTGAATGTGATTGCTCGGTGAGCTGACGATGTAAGAAGTTGACAGTGTGCTTTTTTAACAGCTTCTACGACACAGTATATATGGCATAATATGGACACTGCATACTCCCCCTCACTTACTTATTTACGCCCTCATTACTTACTCACAACATGGTGGTTCTAATGACAAACAAAGCATAATAATATATAGGTTAAAGGAAATTATTTCAAGTAAAGAATAGGCCCTCTTGTCTTCGGGCATTAGGCCGACCACAACAATCTGTTTCCTGTTTCTGTAAGACATATCTGTAACCCGACTTTAAACCCCCAGAGCGACCCCAAAGTTGTGCACTAGGTCAGGCAATTTTGTAACACAGAGAATCTCGGACTCGCAACCGTAAGGTTGTGGGTTCGAATCCCGTCAGGGGCCCGATGTTGTGTCCTTGGGAAAGGCACTTTACATGAATTTTCCTCACTTCACCCAGGTGGGAATGGGTACCCGGCTATAGACAGCGAAAGATCTTGTCAGTTTGTTAGTGTTTGAGCGCTTAATCAGCTGCTTGCACTGTATGCTTCCCAGGAAGCTGAGAATGTTTCAGAGTGTTCTATGGTCTGCTAGGGTAATAATATAGTGTAACGCGCATAGAGCCTGCTGTTGAGCGGGGATATGCGCTATACAAATGCTATTTATTATTTATTCTTCTTCTTCTTCTTCTTCTTATTATTATTATTAATACTCAAATAAAAAGGGGATTCATATCACATCCACAAAATAGCAAGACACACCCTTATGCATTCCTTGATTCCAAACGTATTGACGGTGTCTCACCTTCGGAGCATAATATTAAGAAAGCCAAGATCTGAATGGAGGGAAGTATACGTAGTGCTTGGGTAATGTACTTCTTCTATGCCTACCCATTATGCAAAGCTTTGTTACTGTCAAGATCGTCTATCAAGACGCTCAAGGTCATGCTGCTTTATGTGGTTGGTTGACCAATGCCTAATCTTATGTTGTTCACTCATTCTTTCCTATCAAACATACGTAATTGAAACCATATCGTGCTCGTCTCGCTTCCTTCTTCTCTGCATTTTTTTCTCATGAAACAACTCCAATCTTCGGCACTATGATCATCAATTTAATTTGTATAGC